AGTAACTTCATCCGGGGATACGCTAGGTATTCCTACGTCCTTACCTCCACCCTCCTCCGGAAGAACCCACCCTGGGCTTGGACACCTCTCCACGAGGATGCCTTCCACGCCCTCAAGAAGGTGGTGACATGCGCACTGGTTCTTCAATTACCCGATTTTGACCGCCCTTTTATCCTTACCACCGATGCGTCAGACTTCGTTGTAGGAGCAGTGCTTTCTCAGATCTTCCCCTCCTCTCCTGATTCCTCTCATCCTCGTATCCCTCGCTTCCCACCACCTACCCCTACCACTGCTTCCCGACTGACGCCTACACGTCCAGTTACTGACGAGCCTTCTATTGACTATTCTCCTACCATCGCCGAGGACGGCACTGTCGAGACCCGCTCAAGTGATTGTCCGATAGCCTTCTACTCCCGTCAGCTCCTGCCCGCCGAGATAAACTACACTGCTGATGAACGTGAGGTTCTCGCAGTAGTTTATGCCGCTCGGCACTGGCGTCACTACCTGCACGGGGCACCATTCACGGTGCGCACGGACAACTCCGTTGTCCAGGCTTTTCTGACAAAGTCGAAGCTCACTCCTCGACAGCCTCGCTGGTGGCGCGACCTATCCGAGTTTAGTTTCACCACTGAGCACATCAAGGGTGAGACTAATCGGGTCGCAGATGCCCTATCCCGGCGCCCTGACCACGACCAGGAGCACATCCAACTCTCTTCCATCTCGGTCACCACCGTCCACCACTCAGTGATCGATGAGTTTCGCACTCAGTACCGCCAMTGCCCCGACTATCGCGACATCCACGCGACCCTTCGGAGTAGCAAGACCGTCCCGAACTACTCTCTCGGGGACAACGGTCTTGTGTACTGGCACGGTTCACAGGGCACCAGAGAACCCCGTATTTGTGTTCCCTCCACTGGACAGCTACGTGTCCGAGCAGTAGCAGAGTTCCATGACCAGGCAGCTGCCGGTCATATGGGCTTCCACAAGACGTTGACTCATGTGAGCCGCCTATACGTCTGGCCGAAGCGCAAGGACTTTGTGAAGGACTACGTCGCAGAGTGTCCCACGAACCACCTGCCTTATGGCTTGCTCCAGCCTCTTCCCATCCCTGAGGGTCGTTGGCAGTCCATCTCGATGGACTTTATCGGTCCTCTTCGTCCTCCGACCCCTCGCGGTCATGATGCTATCCTGGTCGTCATCGACCGCTTCACGAAGCGTGCACGCTTTGTTCCATGCCGCTATGCCATCAGTGCACGTGAGGTCGCCGACATCGTGTTTGACCGAGTCGTGCGTGACCACGGCTTACCTCTGAGCATCATATCTGACCGTGACCCGCACTTTACTAGCCGATTCTGGCGACGGCTCCACGAGGTATACGGCACTCAGATTCGCTTCTCCTCGTCTTACCATCCTCAGACTGATGGTCAGACCGAGATCACGAACAGGACTCTCGGAGATATTCTTCGAAAGATTGTTCGTGACGACCAACACTGGGGATCTTCATTTTGCCCACGCGGAGATAGCCTATAACCACGCCTTCTCGCCAGCCACGGGGATGTCGCCTTACTATTGCGATCTCAGCTATCACCATCGTGTTCCCGCGGACTTCCTTCGACCGTCCCAGCTGCACCCCGATACGAGTTGTCCCGCACTGGACGATTGGGTTGCACACATGACGTCGATCATGAAGACCGCACATGAGCACATAGCCGCTTCCCAGACTCGCATGGCAGCACGTGCGAACCGATCGAGGATGGATCACCCATTCAAGGTCGGTGATGATGTGCTTATCGACGCCCGCCACTTACAGCTCGAAGCGGACACGCTTCGCAAGTTTCGGCGTCCCTTCTTTGGCCCATGTCGCATCCTCCAGGCCATCGGTTCTCATATGGCATCTAGCCCGGTCAGCTTTTGTGTGAAGCTGCCCGACTACCTACGCAAGGCTCGTGTGCATGATGTCTACCACGTCTCATTACTACGTCCTTACCGCAGACCGTCTGAGCGTTTCGCTGGACGACCATACGAGCACCCTCCACCCATCATGGTGGACGGCCACGAGGAGTTCCTCGTTTCAGACATCATTGGTCGTCGAGTCACCGATGACAACCCTCCCCAGGTCGAGTATCTCGTACGTTGGAAGGGTTACCCTGATGAGGAGGCTTTCTGGGAGCCCCTCGAGCACTTACAGCACGCTCGCATGTTGGTGCGTGCTTATGACCGTGCTCGTCGTGTTGGGTTCACTGCTCCTCCTCAGCCCACTGACCCTCCTCCTTCTCCCCCAGCTGAGGAGACCACTGAAGTCGAGCCTGGTCCATCTGAGGCAGACCTTCAGCAGCAGCCAGATGCTTCTGAGCGTCCACAGCGCACTCGTCGTCGTCCTGCTCGATACGACGATTGACTCTGACTTACCTTCCCACGTCCTTAACTTCTCAGTACTCCATCCACTCCAGTTTTGCTACTTCGGCTCATCGACGTTGCGGCTCTTCCTCGACGGTATTCTGGACTTCTCATCGTGGACGTCATCGGCAGCTTCATGGACTTCGTCACGATCAGCTCTGCCTACTTCAGACGTCGTCACTCTCTTACCACTTTACCCTGTACAGTACCCTGCTTGTGTCGCATGATGGTCTCCCTTTAGCCGGGTTCCTCTGAGTTGGGCTCTTCCTTGGTATACGCATAGGCATCGGGACCGTAGCGTTGCCCTGGCTTCCCATCTTACGGATCTAGCTCCGACTTCCCTCACTTTAGGAGTCATTTGCATGATTCCCTTACCCATCATTTTTCTACCCTTCGCCGGCCCTCACGCCCTAGTTAGGCACCCCCGCATGCTTCATCTAGGTGCGCCCAGTATACCAGGCTCCCTTGTTCCCTTGCATGGTCGACCCTCCATAGCGGTCACCCCTTAGTCGAGCATTACCCGCCCTGATGGTCTATCTGTTAGGGCCATTGGTTCTGTTCGTTCCCAGTTCCCTACCCTCATTGAGCCTGATGACATGTGTTGTCCCCTGTCACTATTTGTGGATGCCCTTAGGAGTTTCGACCCCTAAGCTGCATTAGCCACCCTCAGAGACCATCCCACCCTTTGGTTTGCGACACACTTCTCATGTGACATATGGTTGTCTTGTTGATTGCTTTGTTGCTCTCAGACTGAGGCTACTGCCTCCGACATTTCTAGGATTTAGCTGTTCTGCTTTTGCTGTTCTTAGGACTTATACACTAGTCAGTTGTTACCAGACTGAGGCTAGTGCCTCCAACATTCTAGGATCTAGTTGTCACTACTTTCTGCTTTCCTAGGACATGTATGCTAGTTAGTTGCTTTTGCTTTTCTAGGACATGTATGTTCGTTAGTTGCTTCTGCTTTCACTTAGGCTGTTAGCTGTGACATTGTTGTTTTGTGACATTTTATATCCTAGGTCCATGCATCGCATGGACTTGGCATGAGGCTTGCTCCGCATCCTAGACTACTCAGGTTTTCTTTTCTTTGGTAGAGTTCCGCTTCTTGGCGGAAGCATGTTTGTATCTAGGCGATCCATCACAGGGCGAGGATCGTGTAGTGGACCTCGGGTTGGCCTGTGAGACCAGCCCCTTGGCCTGTTCTCACAGGCCTGTGTTGTATTCCGGGTAGGCCAGTCCAGGCTGGTACCTCTGCCGGTACCAGCCAGTCCAATCCAGTCCCGTCAGTCCGCTGGGGTATACCCCAGCCATTGTCTGTTTTCAGTCTCATTCTTCACTTGCACATTTTGGAGTACGTGCGTTGGAGTCTTGCGTGGGGAGTTGTGTTGTGCCATCTCGCTCCCCCCCTTCTTCCTCCATCTCCATCTCTACCACTAGCGGAGCACCACACCTTGTGGGTCCGCTACATAAGGCCCAAAGGATGAGGGAGCGTTATTTGGTGAGGGATGGTCATCTCTTTGTAAAGAGGCAAGTGGGGAATCCCAGGAGGGTAATATGTGGTAGGAACCGTTTGATTGACGTTATAGCTGCGTTTCATGATGGCATTGAGGGAGGACACCGAGGGGTTAATGCCACATATACTAAGATAAGTGAGCTATACTATTTGGATAGGATGATGGAGATGGTCAGTAACTTCTGCCGGTCCTGCGTACCTTGCCAAGAGCGTTCTCATCTAAGGCCGGGGGAGCCACGACATCCAAGGTTAGAAAGGGAAGTACGGGCCGTGGTACATCTCGACCTACTCTTCATGCCACTTGGGGACCATGGCTACAATTACGTCTTCGACGCACGGGATAACCTTTCTGGCTTTGTGGATGGGCGGGCCATTCATACAAAAATTGGGCCGGTCCTGGTTAGCTGCATTAAGGAGTACTACCTACGCTATCCCTTTGTCAAAGAGTTCGTAATGGATAGAGGGTCGGAGTTTACCTGTCAGGAGGTACAAGAGTTGTTATCAAGATACGGCGTGGTAGCGAACTACACCACAGCCGCACACCCCCAGGCGAATGCTCCAGTGGAGAGAGGGCATAGCACCATTATGAACCTGCTGGCTAAGTGGACAAAAGGTAAACCCAGTCAATGGCCAAGGTACCTAAGGGCGACATTTTTTGTCGAGAATATTACAGTAAAGAGGACCACCAAGTATGCGCCGGCTACGCTATGGTATGGAAGGCATGCTACGTTCCCAATTGAGAGCTTCCTGAAAACCTGGAGGCGTCAGGATCTAGAAACCAACCTGTCTTTTGAAGAATTGTTTGACATTCGAGCGCGACAGGTGGGGGCTATAGAAGAGATGATTCAGGAGGCCTCGAGTCAAGTAGAAAAGAGTCGCCTGGATGATATGGCTCGTTGGGACCAAGTTGCGCTTGTGCGAAAAACGCCTTTGAAGGTGGGGGACGTCGTGTTACTATACGACTCATCCCTGGAAAAGCAGTGGTCTCGAAAGCTCGATAAAAGGTGGTTGGGACCCTATCGGATCATACGATACGGAGAGTTTGGCGCATACCAGATTGAAAAATTGAATAAGACGGAGTGGAAGGATTGGGTGTCAGGAACCCGACTCAAGAAATTTGTAGCCAGAGAAGAGGTGAGCTAATAAATCCTAAAAACCCCATCGTAGTACAAAGCTAGTAGGGATAGTGCAGGGGTCGTTAGATAGGATAGAAGAGCTAAGGATGAAATTTGGATATGCATGTATGGTTTAACCTGACCCTGCTGTATCCCACCTGTATGCTTACTCCTTTCTTGTGCCCATCGTTTTTTTTCGCCTCTTGTGCAGGACTGACTTTGCAAAGGCAGCCATGCCAAGAGGTGGGAGGGAGATGCGTCCATCGAGGAGACCATTGGGGGGATCAATGGGACACGAGCGGCATGGATCTTACCAGAGGGAGCATACGCTAGAGTATGACGAAGGGGACATAAAACTCTTTCTAGGCGATTACTGGAGTTACGCGAGTTACAGGAGATGGACTGTGACCCATATGATTGAGAGGTTGAGGGGAAGAGGACGCTTCGCAGAACCCATTGCGCGGATCCGTGAGGAGGCGAGGACTTGGCAGGAGGTGGAATAGGCAATGCAGACGCTGAGACCTTCGCCAGTAGGGGCAGACGGGGAGCCGATCCGCCTCTAGATTGGAAATGTGGAGGAATTCATCCCGGCTTTCGAACGGTTTATGCTCGAGCAGGGTATCTTGAGGGACCAATGGATGCAAACACTGCCACTTTGGACAAGAAGAGCCGAGAGACCACTAGCCCGAGAGATCCGAGACAGGGTTCGTGACTGGGAAGGCTGCAGGGCGCACGTAAGGGAGGCGTTTCGGAGGCCAGAGCCAGCACAACCACAACCCAGGGTTGAGAGGCGGCTAAGAAGTAAGAGGCAGAGGGAGCCGGGGCCTAGGGAAGCCGCCCCTAGTCGAGGGGGACGGAAGTCATTAGCACGAAGAGACGAGGAGCCCGACCAGTCTGAGCAGGAACCAGGCATGTATCCGGAGTGTGGAATGGGCCCAATAACATTTCAGCCTTTCACCGAGGGGAGACTACAGAGGTCTCCGCAACAGGTGTCAGAGAAGGCCGCACCGACGAGGGGTTCCCTACAGAGTCTGGAAGCACACTTAGACGCCTCGCAGTGGGAGGTGCCCCAGTCCATTGGAGGTCAGGAAGCCGAGCCCCGCGCCCAGAGAGAACAACAAAAAGAAGAGGTGATCGAGATAGGAGAGGCTACCCCTCCGCAGCAGTCAGCCCCGTCTTCGGAAGTGCAAGCCGAGCCAATGGACGTTCGGGAAGGGGGCAGGGAGCCTCAGCGAGGAGAGGCGCCATCACCACCTCCAGATCTGATTCAGTCACCTGAGGTGAGGGTAGAGACGGGGCTGGAAGAGACGGATTGGAGGAAGGAGAGAGACTCTATAATAGACAGGTATCTGGTAGCGCACGCTGCTGAGCACCCCGATTTGGAGGAAGGTCCAAGGGAAGAGCCGCTGCAGGAGCCCCATCCACCGCCAACGGAGGCGCCACCGGAGGCCCCGCCTGGTGCGATCCGCCCTATAGCGGGGAGAGCGCGTCCTCGAGAGACTGCTGAGGAGAAGAGGACCAGGGTAGGCATACGATTGGAGGAGATATGGCAGGAGGGCTTCCAGACCGACCACCCGACGCACCAGCCAAGACCCTAGGGATTCCAAACTTGTGGGAAGAGTTTTTTGAACAGAGGACCGAAGGACTCGCGTCGCCTACAAGGGCAGGTTTCAGGGTGGTCAGACAGGCTGAGGAGACTTTGGATCGGAGAATTCAATTTTTGGCCAGAACAAGCTTTGATAGGTACCTGATGTTGGAAGGTGACCTGGCAGGAAAGAAGGCAAAGGAAGAAGGTCATGGGGTACGCATAGAAGCGTTGGAGGCAGAGATCCAGGACCTCAAGGCATTGGCGGCCAGCCAGGCCGCCATTATTCAGAACCTGCTGGAAGAAAGGAAGAAGGAAGGGACACCCACGAAGGTAGTGGACCAGACAGAAGGGGCGCGCTATGACGTTCAGGGACAGGCGACTCAAGGATCTGGGCAGCCATCTGAGGCGGGTTCTTCGCAAGGGCCACCCCTTGGACTCGGAAGGATCATCCTATGACCAGAAGAAGCTAAGGCAAAAAAGGGGACTGAGAAGGAAACCTTCGTATTCAGGGCACCGACAGAGTTTGCGACTTTACCAATGGAACATGTGGGAATCCCGTCGATAGCCTCGTCACTGCCAGGCGAAGAGGGGCCACAAGGGGTCACTAGTGAGCCGGCACAAGGGTCAATGGAAGGGTTCATGGGGATGCTCCTTGAGGCACTAGACACCATACAGGAGGAAGCAAGCACACATATGTCTGAGTTGGATACTAAGATTGTAAGCGAGGGGTTGTCGGTGATGGTGTCAGAGGAAAGGCGAGAGAGCAGGCCTCGAAGATTGGATACGCCTGATTATGTGGCGGAGGTGGGTAATCTGAGGAGTAGACTGGGATCTTGGGCTACTGGATCTGGTTCTGGGGAGCGATC